AGCAGCAAGCGAAGACCGCCGCCCCGAACACAGCATAATCATGATGAGGACCCCTTGAAAGACAAAGAAAAGCCCGCAGCGGCTCGGATCGTGGTGGAGCAGAACCAGGCCCCAGAGATTTTTCGTTGCCCACGCCCGGAATATATCAAAATTATCATAAGATCATGCTCTTGAGGACTCGGAGGAGCCTTTGAAAGACGAAGATGGGGCCGCACCGGCCCGAACGTGTTGGAGCCGAAGCAGGCCCCAGAGATTTTTCGTTGCCCACGCCCGGAACACATCAAAGTCATCATAAGATCATGCTCTTGAGGACTCGGAGGAGGATTCGAAAGATGAAGATGGGGCCGCACCGGCCCCGAACTTGTTGGAGCCGAAGCAGGCCCCAGAGATTTTTCGTTGCCCACGCCCGGAACACATCAAAATCATCATAAGATCATGCTCTTGAGGACTCGGAGGAGGATTCGAAAGATGAAGATGGGGCCGCACCGGCCCCGGTCCGCTTGGACCAGGAGGAGGCGCCAGAGACTTTTCATAGCCCACTCCCTGAAAATACAATACAATCATAATGTTGTTTGTGAGTGGACCTGCAGGTGCCACGGGATGGCCTTCTTGAGGAAGGCATCGCTTTTGGGGATGGCCTTCAGGAAGAAGGCATCCCTTTTTTTGGGGATGGCCTTCAGGAAGAAGGCATCCCTTTTGGCCCCCCGTTGTCCAACAGGCGACAAGTTTTGTTGGAGACGGGGAGGAAGTGCCGGCGAGGCGGACGCAATTGGGGGAAACCCTGGTGGTCTTGAAAAAGATGTGCGTGCTGCAGTTCAGTTTGCAGTTTGTCTTTCTGTGTTGCCGTTTGTGTGCTCCTCCCGTTTGTGTGCTCAGGCCAGACCCGGACAAATTCAGCCGGGTGCTCGGTGCATTCTGCCACCACTTCTGCACCAGTTCGAAAAGCTTCTGTTTGCGGAGTGGCTGTGGCATGCTGTGGCTCGCAGGAGTTCTGGCTTAAGTGCCAAGACACGTCAGTGGAGTTTGACACAGACAGAGCTAGTCCTCCGAAGCCGTCGCAGCAAACCACCACAAACCACAAACCGCTGCTGTGATCCAGACACAGACAGAGCTAATCCTCCGAAGCCGTCGCAGCAAAGCACCACAAACCGCTGTGATCCAGACACAGACAGAGCTAATCCTCCGAAGCCGTCGCAGCAAACCAGCACAAACCGCTGTTCAGTCGAATGTCTTTTCAGACCTGAGGACCTATAGTCTGACTTGATAGCCCTAAACCCTAAACCCTTTTACACCTGGACTATGCATATGCCAGGAACCGAGGTGCCGACTAAACCCTAACTAACCATTGATATCATGGGAGCTAAGGAGCCAAGGATGATGATAATCCCTATTAAATAAGGAGCTAAAGAGCCCAGGAAACCCCCAAAACCATTGGTTAGCTAAACCCTAAACCCTAAAACCCTAAACCATAAACCCTAAAACCTAAACCCTAAACCCTAAGCCCTAATGCCTACTTGGCGAATGGATCCCAGCCGCAGCGGAGCTTCGAGCAACGAGGGCACTGATAGCAGCTACAGCAGCAGCAGCAGTGTCAACGATTCGTCTACGTCTACCAGCTGCTCTTCCTCCAGGACCCCGATGCTGACAGTTACGCAAAAGCTGCATCTCGAGTACGGGGAGTTGTTCGTGGACCGCTGCGACCTGAAGGACTTCTTCCAGCAGTTGCCCGACGGCGGCGTCCCGTTGGTGACGGAGTGCGGGGAACCCAGTCATCTCGTGGGAGGAAGAAAGAGAGAGAGAGAGAGAGAGAGAGAGAGAGAGAGAGAGAGAGAGAGAGAGAGAGAGAGAGAGAGAGAGAGAGAGAGAGAGAGAGAGAGAGAGAGAGAGAGAGAGAGAGAGAGAGAGAGCGAGAGAGGCAGAACAGTGAGACCAGGACTAAGAGCGGCACCCCCTGCCGCTGGCGGATCTTCGCCTTAGCAAGCGGCACCCCCTGCCGCTGGCGGATTTCCCGCCAGAGATGTGTCTGTTTGGGGTGGGGGGGCGTGCGTGCATGGGCCGAAGCATCTGAGGTTCCGGTGCAGAAACTCCGACACTGGCGCTGGACATGCTCAGCGAAGCTGCCGTCGGTGCCAAGAAGTTTCAGCTGGTGTGTCTTGATTGCAGATTGATCGCCAAGTTGCACGATGTGGTGTCAGTGTCAGGGTAACTGTCAGGGTATTGTGAAATGATGAACTTAGGTCTGCCTGCGACTATGCCAAAGGGCCGCAGAAGTGGATTCAGCGAAATATGCCCGGTGTCCCGTGACTTGTTAGCATCATGAGTCCCAGTCCTCGAAATACATCCTAACTCCTAACCTAAGGCGTCACTTGCTGTTACTGTTTCTAGACACTGAGGATCGCAAAGGATCTTTTTGGACGAAAGCTGGGGCATCTTGCTGGCAAGGCCGCTTCTCTGGACCCGCATCTTTCGATGGGCATCCTTTTGGCATGAGTTTGGTCTTGGTTGCGAGGTCGCGGTGTACGTTGCAGGATTCCCCTGCAAAGCTTTCTCGTTGCTGAGACATCAGACGGATCTGCTAGATGACCCCGAAGCCCGACAGTTTTTCGCTTGCCGCGACCACATCCGAAAACTTCCACCACTGGCTCTTTGTCTGCATTGAATACAGCCTGCGGTGCCACTTGACACTTAAGGCCATGAGTACCTTCCGATTTGCTGATATTTGCTTTCATGCTGAGGTATGTATCCTGGAGAATGTGAAAGGCCTGGGCCGGGTGATGGACAAGGTGCTGACCTCCGATCATGCTCATCTGCCATGTCAGGCTCCAATATGTTGCAACCAAGGTGCTGAAGCACTTAAAGAAGTGCGGGGACTATGGGATCAAGGTCTGCGAGATCGACCCGCTGCTCGGCATTGGCTAGGTCGGGGTGTCAAGGCTGCGAGGCGGTAAATTGGAGTCGAGTCTGAGGCTGGACTATGGAGGGGTCGGCAGTCGCGATCGCTACTACATCATCATGATCCACAAAAGTGTGGCAGTGAAAAAGTTTGAGAAAAAGATCGACGAGACCCTTACGAAGCTCCGATGTGAAAGCACCGAACCTTGGAATCTTGCTTGCAACCTGGAACCATGTGCAGTTTGCAGCATGATGCGTTTTTGTTTACAGGATGTCACTTCTGCTCGACGACGAGTCCGAGCCTGTCAGGGGTCACAAGCGCAAACGCTTCGAGGAAAACGTGCCACCCCTGATCTCCAGGCGGGCCAATCTTGGATGCTGTCGTGACTCTGAATAATAATAAATAAATAAGCCGTCCCTTCGTGGTTCCAAGGAAGCCAGCTCCTGGAGGAGAGAAGTGGAAGGAAAAGCTTTGGAAATTTTTGAAGGAGAAGAAGGCCATCTGCAGCAGAATCAGTCTTTCGATTATGCATGCATACATACATCGTTTGTTTTTTGAATGCTACCGGGCAGGTGTCTGCCAAAGATGCCTACGAAGCGGGATGGAGGAAAGTGCCGGGCCTCGGCGACCTACTTCTTTCGACGCGCCAGATGCATGGGCTCCTCGCTCATTGCGCTTTGGAGCCGGATTGGGTTTGCTTGGACGTGTCGCAGGGTGTGGAACGCATGCGCGCCATCAAAGCAAACCAGCAACTGGGTTGCAACAAGTGCTGCATCCATGTTGTTTATTATGTGTATTCTGAGTTGGAATGGAACCCGAGGCCGTTCTGCTGTGTCACGCAAGAGCCTTATCTTCCGAAGCATCATGCAAAACATCATGTCAAGTATCGTGTGAGTGCACATTTCCAAGGCCTGGCGGAAGTTTCGTCCTGGCAGCTGGGCGGATGATGTCCAGACAGCCCCTCAGATCGCGGATTCATGCTTGGTTCTCGTGTTGGCCTTCCCCTTACAGGTGAAGAGTTGATGTTGCAGCAGGGCTTCCCGCTGCACAGACTCGATCTGGGAGCCAACACTTCCCAGGCACGATGCCTCTTGTTAACAGATTGTTGTTGCATCATGCCTCAACACAGGCATTGGCGAAGCTTGCTGGCAACAGCATGCATCTCCGTGCCATCGGGGTTGCCTTGTGCGCCTCGTTTCGAGTCCGGGCCCTGGTTTCTGAGCTTAGGTGTTTGAAGGAAAAGCATATTAGCTGAGGCGCTGGATGTCAGCCGCTTCGTGCAAATGACAAACAAGATGGTGGGCTGAAAAAGATGCGGCTCTTTTCGAGTCCGGGCCCTGGTTTCTGAGCTTTGGTCTTTGAAGGAAAGACTTATTGGCTGAGGTGCTGGATCCATGACGGCCGACTAGTTGCTTAAGAAGCCCCAAAAAATAAAAAAATACGAATCCTTATATTTTCCCTATAAGGAATATATTAATAAAAAATACTAATCCCTATATTATCCCTATAAGGAATATATTAATAAAAAATACTAATCCCTATATTATCCCTATAAGGAATATATTTTTATTTTTTGGGGGTTCTTAAGCAAATAGTAGCGGCTGGTGCTTTGGACAAGCAAGATGTCGGTCTGAAAGATGTGAAGAGACATGGCTTGTGGGATGCAGCTGGACCCTGGCCATGGCGCGAAAATATGAACGACGGACTCTCTCAGACCTGTTATCATGCTCAGTTGATGCCGCAGGGCTAGAGACACTTGAAAGCACCCCCGGCGAAATCCACTGCACATATGGGCTCAGTGCATTTTTTGGGGCGCTAGGGCCGCTAGGGCTCCTGCCTCTGATTCATGATGGCAAGCCAGCCGGAGCCCGATGCAACTCGTTCGGATGTATGTTCGGTGCGGGGTGCATTTGGTGCTGCCCATGCTTGCTCAGGCTGAAAGAAGCCATGCTGCAGCTGTGGAAGCTGTAAACACTTTCTTCGAAAGTGCACCTTTGCAGAATCTTGCAAATTTGAATCGCAGTGAAGGTCGACGGCCATCTGCTGTTTGTTATTTCGGTTTAAGGTCTGCGAGAAGGAGAACCCTTGCACGTGGATGTTCCGGACAATGGCCTCCAAAGAGGTCTTCGCGGGGGCATCTTGATTGGTTTTAATCTGATTTGCAAACCTGCAGACACCAGTAGCTTGCAATGTTGTTGACATGCTCTGTATCTGTCAGGTCATAGATCACTATATGAGTGAGGGGCGTGGGCATACCCGTTCGCCCTTGTCGCTGGTGCCCCGCGAGAACATGGAAGCCTTCTACCTGCCCCTGAGCTGCTTTGACTACTCCACAGAAGGCAAGAACGGTCGCTTCTTGCCATGTGTTCATTGTTGATGTGCCCTGAAGCAAGGATTGCGTTAGTGGGAGAATTAGTGTGAATCGCGATGCGCTTGCTGAGACTTCCCACACCAGAGCCAGCTCCGTGCGCATTTCTTGTCCTTCATCAGCCAGGGCAATGACAGCAGGGAGCCCGTGGCTGTGAGGTTCGAAGCAGTGGAAACCGACAGATCCACCGCCATGGCTTTAACGTTCGCTTCGTGGACGGCCAGTGCAAAGTCCTGATCATGCAACTGGCGGTGTGCATCGCGCACAAGCTGGGCTTGGAGAAGGACGTGCTCAGGACATTGCCGTCCTTTGCTATGGTTCTCTGCTCGCACACCAAGCACGCAT